GGGGGGGAGGGGGGGGTATAGGAATACATGTAGATAGAATGCTCCCACTCATTCCATAATAGAGAGGAATCTTTTGGTTCACTTCATCATCAAGCCACCTTCTACATATGAAACTCTTCTTTAAAGCTCAACTTCTCCACTATCAACCATCTTCTCCCAACCCTACATGTCTCTATTATTCATAGTTGAATCACAGTAGTCGCACTCAATGAAACTTTATGATCTACAGTGCACTTAACCTACCTTTAGCTCTCTCTTTTTTTTTCCTTTGGCCCGCATGCTTTTTTGGAGCATTTCCTTAGAGCTCAGCAGCAAAAATAGAAGCTAAGCTACCATTACGGAAAACCCACTTTGTCATTCCTCAAATCCCAATTACTGATAGGAATTTGGTTAAGGTCGTTCAGTTATGATTTCAAGTCATAGTCAATGTACAGTATTCTCTAAGAGAGATAAGTGAAAATAAAACTTACACTATTTACGAGAACTGGATTATCGATCCACACCGCACCTCATTTTGCATTCCAATTTGTGCCCCTTTTTCTTACAGTGTTAGATCTTCTACATCTTTATTTCCCTTTGCTGGTTCCCCCTCACACTCACAAATATGTCGCTTTCTGACCATCTATGGCTTTTTTGTTTTGGTAATGCAATTGATAATGAGATTATAACTAACTTGGTTGTTGTATGAAATGACTTCCCACATGGTCACCTTCACAACTTTCATTCTTGTGAAAGCTATCAATTATAAGCAACATTAGAATCTCTCTCTCTCTCCCTCACACACACACACATATATGAGTAATGATGGATGGGGTATATTTAATCCACTTCATGGAAGGTCCCAAACAAAAGTTGAGAAGTCTAAGTCTGAAGCAATGTGTAGTGGGTAGGAAGGGGTCCATCTTCTCCAAGCTTTCTATTCCTCCTTCCATTATACATGCATGCTTACTTTAGTGAATCCCATCTCTTTTTTCGTTTCTTTCAAACTTCTAATGTGTCTTTTCTATTCTTAAAAATGATTAACGGGTGATACATTTTGCCCATAAACTACGTGTTTCATCTCACTTTGGTCCACATTTTTCTAATTATAAAACTTTAGCCCCAATGTTGCCAACTTAACTGTCCGTGGTCCACTTGAACATAGTGGTTTAACATTGCAAATGAAAATTGATACATGTACAACTTCGACATAAATACATTGTCTCTTCCGTAAGTAATTTTAAACCGTCACTTTGTTTAATTAGATTAAGATTAAAAATTTTAGAATAGAGACTAAATTGAGGCTAATTAACCACACTGTTTAGGCACCATTAATCTGTTTCCGCCACTGGTGTTATTCGGTACGTAGCTGTGGACAAATATGTGGGCAAAGGCACTATAGGATGAGCATTAACTGGCATGAGCTCACAAGTTGACAGTATGATTGGATCATGAAACAAGGCTCGTGGGCATCAACCTCTCTCTCTCCCTCTCTCCTCTTTATTTATTTAATCAAGTTTGGCAAGCATTATATAAAAGCAAAAGAAAGAAGCTCACTTGTGACCTCATTCCAAAGAGAGCAAAAAGGAGTGTTAGAGAAATGAAATAAACAGAAGGTAAAGATGAACACATAACAAAAAGTAACCTAAGGAAAAGCTGTCAGTGCTTTGGCCCCATTCTCTAATTTAAAGCTCATCCAAACACACCTCAAAACCCAAACTTCATACACACAGATCTCACAGAACAGCCAGTACAAGATCTGAAGCAAAGAAACAATTACAACACACACACACACACACACACACAGAACAATGAAAGGAAGAGCAGGCAAAGGAGCTTCCTCAGCAGATCTCTTAGTTTGTTTTCCTTCAAGAGCTCATCTAACCCTTATGCCTAAGCCAATCTGCAGCCCAGCTAGACCGTCAGAACCCAACAACCACTCTCACCACCGCCGCCGCCGCCATCATCCTCACCAGAATCATCATCTCAAAAACTCTAGCACCAGAGGTGGTGCTGGCCAGGGCAGCCCTCTTTTATGGGCCAAAACCAAGCCCACAAACTCAGACATTTCTGAACCCACATCCCCAAAAGTCACCTGCGCCGGACAAATCAAAGTTAGACCCAAGTCCAATCCATGCAAGAATTGGCAATCAGTCATGGAAGAGATTGAAAGGCTTCACAACAACAGAAAACAGAAGAGGCCATCTTGGATAGAAGCACTTGGATTCAAGAAAGAAATAATGCAGTTTCTGACTTGTTTACGTAGCATTCGATTTGATTTCCGATGCCTTGGCTCATTTCCAACACCAGAGATTACCTCTGATGATGAAGAAAACGATGAAGAATATAGGGAAAAACAAGTGGGTATGGAAGAAATTGATGATAGTGAAACTTCAAGAGTTGCCTTCTCCAAATGGTTCATGGTTCTCCAAGAAAACCAGAACAACAATGGGATCACAAAAGAAAAGAATGAAGAGAGAGAAAGGTGTTATAAAGAAGAGTCCATCGATGAAGAAGAAGAACCTTGTGCACCACCACCAAATGCATTATTGCTCATGCGTTGTAGGTCTGCCCCCGCAAAAAGCTGGTTAGAAGAGAGAGAAGAAGAAGAAGAAGAAGAAGAGGAAGAAGATGAAGATGAAGATGAAGAAGATGAAGAGATCAGAGAAGAGGAAGACGAGAAGAAAGCAAAGTTGGCAATGGAGGAAGAGAAGAGAGAGAAAGAAGAGAGATTGGTGGTGATGAGATGTGGCACTGATTTCTACAAATTCTCTTCTGATATTGCAAAGGAAACTTGGGTTGTTGGTGGAATTGGACATCCATTATCCAGGAGTCGAAGTTGGAAGAGATGATCATATCATAATCAAGGTGATTGTTTGCCAGTTTTCCTTCAAAGTTTCTTGTTTGATTGATTTTCTAGGCCATCTGGGAAAATCCAAATCAAGCATATATCTTTTTCAGATTATAGTTATTAATTATGTCTATTGTGCTTTGATTTGATAGTGTAATACATTTGTACAGGTTTTCTTTCCTTTCTTCCATGGAAAAGATTTTGCTGCCATGTGCATTTGTGATGTATTAGTTGAAAAGGCTACACTTTGTGGTTAACATGTGATCCCTGTAATATATGATTTTTATTCTTTAATCTGGATCTAGCTTATTTCATTTGAAAATAAGTTCTTCGTAATGGCAAGAGAGTCGTACGTTAAACTATTTTTTTTTATGTACTTTTGACATCTGAATGCGATAGCTCTAATTTTGTACCACTGGAGTCACTTAAAAGTGATTTGAACTTATAGGACATATAGGTGTGAGATCGTTGATGAGGAAGAAATTCAATTTATTAAAATTTTCATTATTATGTGAATAGCAGAATAATTTTTTAGATAAAGTAATTTTTTTTGTTTACAAATCCAATCTCTTCCTTTTGAAGCCCACCCCCTCGTGGGTTTCATCAAACTTCCATTTAAAATCCACTATTCATTACCGTTGCACCGAAATTCATTTATTCTATAAATATGAAATTTAAAATTTTAAGGTCATAACAGATTTAGCCAAAAGGATTGAGGTCATTGGTTTATTTTTTGGGTCTACGAGATCGTTGGTTCGAAGCTTTGCTAATAGCAAGTTTTTGTAATAAAAATTTTATTTACACATGCCGCTACATAGAAAATTGAAAAAAAGAAAAATTAGACCAAGAATTTTTTAGGTTTGTTATTTAATTACTTAAATCTCTGTCATTAAAAATATTATATACAGACCTCCTGAGATTTGTATAAGTATAACACATAGACCTCTACCGTTAATGTCCGTTATTAATGTACATTAAAACTCTTAAAATTTAAAATATTTAATATTTAGACCTATTGAATTTAAAATATTACACTTAGATTAAAAATACTCCAATTAAATATAAGATATCAAATATTTTAAAATTTTCGACTAAAATTTATATTCTAATATGTCATTTATTGAAATAAAATTAAAAATAAAAAATCAATTATTTCTTTAACAAATCATAATTATGATTGTTGATGTCAAAAATTTGGATAACTTTTACGTCATTTTGTTGGAATTTCATCATCTGGATCAGAAGTTAGAAACTGGAGGTCAACTCTTCGACGTCTAAGTTAGTAAATGATTCAAAGGTATAAACTTTGTTTAGAAGGTAGGAGTAGCATACCTGAAGCATCTTGAACTAAATGAATTTTTTCCCTTAGATCAATTTTTTCATCATTAAGTACGAACATATAAAATAAGTCTAATCAACATATTTGCATGTTTTATTATATCATTCATTGACATAAAACCCAAAAAAAATATCAATTTTAAGGAAGAAATAATAATCAGTATAAATATATTAAAAAACTCAATTCAACACTTATTTGCATACAATTATACTGTCTATTATAATAAAACTAAAAAACAAACAAGAGGTCAAGCTATAATGAATCATTAATTGGGGTAAATTGATCGTTTAATATATTTTGTTAGTTTTGTAACTAAGGGGTCTAATTATAATATTTTAAATTTAAAAAGTCTAAGTATTACATGTTACAAATTTCAAGGGATTGAGATATAATTAACTAATGGATATACTAACGAACATTGACTACAGATGTTTAAGTTTTATACACATACAAATTTTAGAGAGTTTGGGTGTGATATTTTAAATATCAGTAAGTTTAAATGATTAAGTAATAAACTTCAGAAGGTTTGAGTATAATTTTTTCCTAAAAAAACTATAAAGATAATTATTTTTTTCAATCTCACCTCTCGTTCTTTATAATTTTTCAAAATGAAAAGAAAAATTAAAAATTAAAAGATCATCTTATTCGAAACTCTAATTATGACATCATTTCTCTCTAATTTCACATCTCAGAACGTAGTATTTTTATAGAGAGAAACATATTTTCATATCTTCTTAACCTAAAATTTTAGATCTAATGAGCAAATGACCAAATAAACTTTCTAATTATGAACTAAGTATAGAACCAACGAGCAACACTTAGTTACATAGACTCTTATATATCAGTTTTCTTTCCTTGGGAATAGATTAGATATATTGCTATCAAAAGGAATCGTGTTTGTTTTCCCTTCTCTTCTGAATCCTGATATTGAACCCTCTGGACAGACCCATCAAAAAGGTTCAAGCTAAAGAAACTTTGGAACTCATGTCAACCCACCAAATGTACCCATCTTCTCTGACTAATGGCCTGTTTGGTTTGGTGAAATAGTGGGTGGATAGAAAATGGAATGAAAAATGACATTTTTTTTTTGTTTGGTACAAAAGAAAAATTGAGGGAAAAGGAAAATTGAGGGAAAAATATATCCTTTGAGCCCACCATTTTTAATCCCCCACAAATGGGAGAAAAGTGGAAGGAAAGAAGTGTGTGACCCACTTATTTTGTCATTTTTATGTATAAGTGTACCAAATTAGTGGATCCACATCAAATTATTAATTTCTTGACTTTTTTATTTATTTCTTTGAACAAATGGAATTTTTTGTCCTTAAAATATACTTTTAAATATTACATATATCTTTTCTTTTCTTCCAATTTTTCTCAATACCAAATAATAAAAAATTAATTTTTCTAACTTGCTATCTATTATACCAAACACAAAATAGGGATTAAATTTTTCTTTCTTCTAATGATGAAAAGTCTATTTTTCAATTTTTTTATCATTTTAATTTTTTTCCTCTATCATCAAACGGAGTATAATGATTTGATTCATTTCCATCCACACATTGTGTCCCTAGTAAAGTAACAAAATTTAAATGATGGCAAGGACAGATTGTCAGGTGGTCATAATAATGGTTGATAATTGTGTCTTCCACCCTCTAATTTGGCTTAATCAAATCCCTATTTCTTTTCTTTCGCTCCTTAAAAAATTAAATTTTTACCTTCCAAAAAAAAATAAAAATTCCCATGATACGGATTGTCCATTTTATTAATTTGGTACTCATTATATTAATTTTATTAATTTAGTCACTATAATTTTAAATTGTGTTACTTTGTTCCCTAATTAGATAATTCGTCAAATTTTTTGACAGAAATAATCACGTGTAATTTTTTAGACGGTACTAAGTGTCTAACACATGATCATTCGGTCAAAAAGTTACCGATCCATCTATTTAGAAGGATTGATTAATGTTATTTGGATCTAAAAATTTATCTTAATTTATTGACCAAATATTATGGTTTCATTGAAATCATTGGATCAATACTAAATTTCGATGTTTAATGAAACTCACATTCAATTCAAAGACTATTTTAAATTATGTAAATAAATTAAATTTCAATAACATTACTCGAAAAATTTATGGGTGTCATACTCGTACCTTTGTATAAAATGATGCAACTTGGGCTGCTGATGCTTCTTTGTACATGATTGGGCTCTCTAAAATTGAACCAGCAAGTTACAAATTCTATCTCGGTAGGGCGTGCGTGTATTTTTATTATTATGAAATTTATAAATAAAATAGTTAGTAATGGGGTTACCATTATCTAATCAAAAGATTGTGGATTTGAGTTCCAATGAACATTATTTTTTAGATTTACTCATCTTTGTCCCTCAACCACAAGATTTATATAAATAGAGTCTAAGCTTGGATTACGGACAACAGGGCGAGACAAACACAAATACGATAAATTGAACCAAGCTTGAGCAAGGATTCAATCTTGACAAACCAAGTTAAAGCCAAACTTTAAAAAAATAATAGTTAACTCGAGTTGAACTTAAGCATACTGGAAAAAAAGAAGGTTTTTTTGGTTGTGGGTACAATTTTTTAGTCTAATTTGAATAAAAATGTATGAATAAGTTGTTTATTCTATTAAGTTCAATTTTAATAAAATATATTGTGTTTAGATATAACATTCAAATGAAATCAAATTCTTTTACGTAAATACTCTCTCTTGAATTTTGCATTTTTGACTGATATTTATATATCTAATCAAATATGCAAAGATTTCATTAAACTCTTTCACTGTCTATCTCCTATTTTCTCTCCATGTCTCTCACTCTCTCTCCCCCCAATTACTTTTTCCATCTCTCCCATATTTCCTCTCTCTCTATCTATCATTGATAATTTATTTTCTTTTTAAATATATAAAGATTTAATTTATTTTTCATCTCTCTCTTATTTTTTCTCTCCTCTTATTTTTTCTCTTTCTCTTCTCTCTATTTATATCAACATTACAACAATACAATTATATTAATCAGTTACACAAATCAATTACAATTGTCATATAATACACCAAACAGTTACTCATGCGTTCTAATAAACTAAACAGTTACACCAAACTATTATACAAAATTATGACACAAACGCAATTTGTCATTCAGTTGTTTACATAAACTAAACAGTTACACTATTTAGTATCACGACATCGTTACACTAATTATATATATCAAATTTAGTATAATTGTAAAGTTTTTTGTGTAATAATAAATTCAATTTGGTATATATAATTGGTATAATCATATCGTGATACTAAATAATGTGACTTTTTAATTTATATAAATAACTGAGTAACAAATTAGGTTGATGTTGTAATTTCATATAATTATTTAGTGTGAATGTTTAGTTTATTAGAACACATGAGTATTTGTTTAGTGTATTATAAGGTAATTGTAATTAATTAATGTAACTGATTAGTATAATTGTGTTATTGTAACATTGATATAAAAAAAGAGAGAAAGTGAGAAAATAAGGGGAGAGGGAGTAAGACAGAGATGAAAAAATTAAATCAAATTTTTACATATTTAAAAAATAAATTATCAATGTGAGAGAATGAGAGAAATAAATAGATAGAGAGGAAATAGGGTAGAAAGAGTGAAAGAGAAATGGAGAGATAGTAATGGAATAATAAATGACTTTTTAATCTTTTTTTAAAAAAAATACACTTAGAACCAAATAAGTTTATTTAATATAATTTAGCTTAAATAAATCTAAATTTTTGTACCGACTTTTAAATTACCCAAAAAAGAAATACTCCGCTCGATTAACACCGTGGGCAATTTCTAAGTTGCATTGCAATGTACAATGAGGTGTCAATTTTTGACTCGAACACAAATCCGACTCGAATCGAACTTGACACGAACCCGAAAAAAACATGATTCGTTGACACGAAGAATAAATGGGTCAAATTAAGATTCGACACGAATAACACAATTAATAGGTACTGTAGATAGAAAATAATTAGTTAATGAGTATTTTAGATAAAAAATAAAAAAATTTTAATTT